TATAACAACACTCAAACTGCACTCTGAGAACCCTCTGCTCAAAGGGCCCCAACCCACCAGGAGCTCTACCATGACAACCAGGACCAGGGACTGCAAAGCAAGTGGTGGGAGAAACCTACCACAGCTGAGGAGCAGAGTGACAAGGGCAGGGGGATGAGATAGGACTTGATCTGTTCAGTCTTGTGGTGCTTGCGGTAGAGTGGGAAGTAGATAAAGACTGTATGGTGTGTTTGAATTTGTCTGTTGTGGCAATTTATCAGCTCTTAGGAATCACCTACATACCTAGTCATAATGACAATGGGCATTCAGTAATTGATGAGCTGGGATTTCACCCTCGTTAACCTACCAGCTTACCCAGTAGTTGTCTCTGCAGCATCAGAGGTTTGTTAGACAAAGCATACCGCTGTTTTGGCTCTGCCTGAAGCGGACAAAGTGGGACTTTACCAGTTTGACCCCATATTTGCCCAGTTTCTAGCCATCAAGAATCCCTCTGATGTCTCTGTGTCTGTAATATCACCTTCTTCCAACCTCATTACGGACACAGAGAAATTTCAATATATTGTGAAGTATATTATATTAAGAAGGCATTTTTTCATAGAACTTTTTGCTAATACATTGTTGTTTTAACCATCAGAGTAGAAAGACCAAATATTGATTCCTTTCAGTGTATTCGCTTGTTTAATGTCCATGGGTGCCCTGCCTGAGTCCAAATTTCGCCCAAATACCAAGGGGAAATTATTGTGCAAATCTGTTCTAAAACGATGGGAATCTGTTGTTAGTTCCTACTCAAGGGAGTTTGCTCATACGGCGTGATTTTCTTTCTGAACTTCCCTTTTCTTCTTGTAAGCACAGGATATCTGTTCAAGGGAGACTCAAGTTGTGTCTTTGTCATCAAAATTAAGTTTTGTGCTCACAGCAAACAGAATTTGTTTTCACTCCACTTTAAGGTAGTCCGTTTGTGAGGTTCATTAAATAATAGGATATAACCCAAGACCCAGCACCTTGACTGGGAAGGCAGTGACTTCCATTTTTATCATCCTTCCTAAACTGGAGTATGAATGGAAAGCAACCATTCAGTGAACGTACAGCCCTTGCACACTAATCTGTGTTTGGGAGATATTTTAGGTGGACATATTAGTGTGTGCCATATGTGGTAGATCTCACTTCACTGTGAAAACCATCTAAACCCATCCCTCCTCTGAAGAAGCATCGGAAATCCTTGCTCCCCGCTTTTCCCTAGGAGCATGCTTAGGTTTTACAACAACTTCTGTCCACCTTGTCTCCATTGTGCCTTTTTCTCCTACCTCTCTTTTCCTCTGTTGTTTTTGTAGTGGATTCCTCAGCCTCTGAGAAAGAGGGTTTTTTAAAAAACTTTTGTTTCTGCTGTAGTTTGTTTTGGAAAAGACATAAAACGCCCCTGGCTCCTTTAGGAAAGGATTGGTGATGGTGTTTAAATTCAAGTTACCATTACTATTTCCAAAAGTGGATTTTTATTTCCCTGAAGAGGCCAAGATTTAAAATTTGATAAGAAAATATAATTAAGAGTGATCTTGATGCATGTCGCAACTATAGTTAAAACACTCATTTGATATTATCTGATTTCTGTGTTATTCAGTGCAGCTGGGGATGCCTATAAGTAAAGGAAACAACTTTAAGTTAATAAAAAAGCACATTAAACATGGGGAATGGGATCCACTCATTATTAAGGGAAAGAATATTATTTTAGAAGGAAGTAGTGTGATTTTCTCATGCAGTACGTTGCAATGCATTGAATTTAGTAACAGGAGAAATAACTGTAACGAAAATGGCATCTTTGTAAAGGACACCGTATAGGATTGGGCAACTAATTATGTTGGAATTTTAAAGCACTCGAGCATGCATATTACTTTTTTTTTTTTATCAATTGTGACTTCAACTAGAATACCAGCATTGCTTCGTACGACTTACAGCGAAACAGAAATATTGTAATTCCCTATTCTTGAAAAGTCTCTCCCCACTTTTTTTGACGCTCGGTCTTCTGGGAATCAACCTAGTTCAGCTGAGCAACAGACTGCCTGTAAACTCACTGCCCATGTGTTATTTTAAAAGCTCCTCAACTCTCGTGTATTAGTGCTGTCCAGTCTTCCTTGAAAATAATGGCATATGTTTCAAAGTATTGTCCTACCTACAAATTGTTCCTTCCTCTGTTCAAGGTTTTTTGGACATCAAAATTATTTAATGACGATGTCCTCGTTTCTCAGAGTCTGTTCTATTCTCCTCTGCTTGCAGAGAAATGAATAGAAAATTGAAGGGGATATATGTTCAGAAAAAGAAGTTAATTCCTCTAAGAATATGGATACATGATCTAATATGATCTAATATGAGATTTTTGCAAGAAATTTTTCCAGCATTATAAAAAGACAGCAAACACTGGTTTGTAGGGCCAACTCTGACTAGGTTATTCACATGCACCTTAGCAATTTTATTACATTTTTCTTAAAAAGATTTTTAATGAAAAATGTTATTGTAAACTGGAGAAATTTACTCAGTGCTGACTTTTGTAATCCTTCTTCTTTAGGTAACCCTGACTTACCTGTGTAGGCAGATTAATTTTAGTGGGCCACTGATCTGAATGAGTGTTTGTAGGATCGTGTCATTTTTCCCATTGATGCTGAAGTACTGAATTTAACTTCAGAATTTAGCTGTAATTTAGTTAACTACAAGTTCTACCAAAGTATTATTTAAAGTTACTAGCTTTAAAACCTTAAAAGAAACATAGGTGTATTACTTACATCTTTAGGTAATGCCCTTTTCCTAAATGAGATTTCCATTACAGGCCTGCTGCTGATGTTTTACTTGGAAAATTTGTTTACTCTTCCCTTGGGAACCCGTATGTTGCTTTGATTTATAAATCATATTTAACCTCCAATTAAAAAGGGAGGTTTAGCATGTTTGCTTCCTTTATGTTTGCAGTTTGTGTTTGATTGCTCCTAGTCTTGTTGCCATAACCTTTTTGACTGATTATGCGCACGTCGCTAAGAACGTGAGCGATCCTCTGGGTTTTTAAGATAATTTGCTCTTCTGATTGAAGGACTAGATACTCACCTCTGCTCCCTGCTATGCTTTTGCCTTGTGGTGGAAAAAATGACTTCTCCAGTAGCTACTTTGCGACTGTGCTTTCAGGACATTCAGAAAAGATTCAGCGTTTCCAGAAGGTGTTTGTGGTTTTCATTTTGCAAAATGAGCGGCGAGAGGGTGTCTGTCTGCGGAGCTGCGGCAGCGTCCCTGCAGCTAAAGCTGCTGCCCGCCCTCCTCTTCGCTGGGGAGCTGCTGCTCCCAGTCAGGCGGCTGGGATACCCCAGCAGATTTGTTTCGTTTGCTCTCGGGGAAAGGCTCCGTGCTGAAGGATCAAGGCAACGCGCTGAGCTTGCTGATCCAAGGGCAGGAAGGATTCGTTCCAGCCAAGTCAGTGTTAGAATTGAGAAATACAAACGAAAGAGCAACCTTATTCACCAGAGGTGTGTTCCCCAAGTCTTGACACAGGCTGAACTTCTGCTGATTCCAGCGGGGAAGTTCGGGCTGAGTCACTGTCCAAGCTCATTAGGGCTGGTGAATTAGGTAACTCGAGCTTGAAGACTATGTTGTTTCTCCAGAAACACTTTTTTTTCCTAGACATTTAGAATACTTCTACAAAACATACACTCTTAGTCTATGCAATAAATTATCTGTTTAATGAAATATTGTAACAACTACATTACAACGGGCGAGCGATTCAAATAATTGGACACAGTAGCTTTAAAATAAGAAGAATCATTTACATTCTTTTGGATGCTTACGTTAGAGTTGAACTATAAACTGAGGTGGCATCTACCTGAGGCATCAAATCTGCTCTTGTTTTTATTAATGTAACCCAGAAATTGTCATTTGCATTATTGCTATAAATAATAACTAACATAAATGCAGGTCTGTGATTTTGAATGCTGTTTCTGAGAAAATTTAGGTGACTCTGGGTCATTTTCTGAAACATTTAGAAGCCACGTGGGAATGGATTGCAGGGAGAGGGTCTAATTTTGATACAGAGAGGACACATACCTAGCAAGCAAAAGGCAAAGAAGCAAAAATAGAGAAGGGGGTTAAATAAATAAAAATAATCTCAATTAATTAAGATATAGAATTTGGATTTATACCATGATGTCTGAAAGTGGAATCTAACTTGTTTCTCTGGTATTAACATGACCAAGGCAGAAAAAAAGAAGAGCCAGGTAGTTTGTCCAACATGGACTGATTGGGAAGATTGTCCAGAACGCTTGTGCCCTGTGTCTCCTTACCATGCAGGAGAGAGAAGACTGAAGTTGCATGACACATTATACCAGCATAACCTTCATAACAGAAATCAAGGGGGGTGGGAGGGTTGTGCCTGATTTGGAGAGGAACTTTTCTGACTTTTAGGAGTCTAAACAGCTAATGGAAATTACTTGTTCTGAAGACAATCCCATATAATCTTAGTTCTAGACTTGCTTTTCATCCACCCACCCCCTCTGTGTCCCAAATCCCAAACAGACTGAAAACAACGGCAACAAAAGTTGTCTGTAGTTAGTATTGTACCTAAAGTGTCTAAAACTAATAAATTGCTAAAACTACTGAACTTCAGCGGTGAAAATACATGCAGTCCATTTGTTTCAGCAGCATCATTTTATGTGACCTAAAGCAAGACTTTATGTCCACCTTGGCTTTGAATTCTGCCCCGGGTATTCCCTTCAGTGACACTGGTGCGTATCAGCAGTAACTCAGCAGAAAGGCACCAGACCCAACTTGTAATCCTGACCCAACCACTGTTGTTTTGCAGTTATCGTTGCGAGAACATGTTTAACTGAATTTGTGAATTGGTGGGAAGTTGTGCGTTCTAGGTCTTGAACACCACTTTAAAATTTGCAAATACATCAGTTGTCTCGAAGCCTTGATAGAAGCAGCAATTCCGAGCAAATGTTTCTCTGCGGTGTTTGTAGAAGCTGGACAGTAAGCACTTTCAAACAGGAACCCTTATCACTTGCACAGCAGAGGTTCTAGTTTAGTTAGAACTGCATGTTTGTTTGTTTGCTTTAAAAAATTAGATTTCCCTTGAAAAGCAATGGTTTAAATTAAGAAAAAAAATATTTATAAAACTTAAAAAACAGGTTCAAGAAGCTCTGCACTTAAAACAAGTTCTAAGGGTTTTAAAAATCCATAAACACCATGGGGTTCTCGCACTCCTAATTATGAATGTTTAGATTTTGGTGTTCATTTCCTCTGATTGAAATACTGCAGGATGAATTATTCATCCAGTATATACAGGGTCACGGAACTTAATCCCCTCCATTTATTTTAAGTGAATGTCATGTTTGTAAAAAGTGCCAGATTGACAGACAAGATTCAACCCTTCCGATAACCTACACATTGTATCTAAAGCTGTTTAGAAGTAAAAACTCTTGTGGTTAAAATTATTGGTTCAAGTCCTTCACTGATGAAAGTCAGAGATGAAAATCAGTTGTTTTTTTTTTTTTTTAAAGCAGCATAAATTTAAATCACAGAAGGTGAGGTTTTCTCTATGAGCTCAGTTTTAAATTCAGATCAGAGGAGGCCTCTGGTTGCTGCCTGGGTATGGCTGAAACCTCCCCTGAAGCAGAACTGCTCTCCGTGCCGGGCCAGTCCTTACCCATCCCAGTGCCGCCTGCTTGGCTGGCTGAAGGCACCTACTGGCATTCACATCATCATGGTTTTGAGTGGTAAAGCTTTGTAGCAGTGATTCATTAAGTCAGCGAGGCAGTGACAACAGCTTTCCAGCACTGGTGGCCTCTGACAGGTTGCAACTGGTGGTCCCTATACAACTGCCTCCACGTCCTGCCCTCAGGAGTTAGGGCAAGATCCTTCTCATGTTCAAAATAGTTAGAGACTATAAAAAGATCACTTACCCCAGTGGCAATTTACCTAAAGGAGGGTGGTGGTGGGATAGGCTGAAAGGGTTGTTCTGTCTGTTACACATCAGGGTAGGTATTCCTTTAAATTAAGCTTTTACAAAAAACTAGTGTATCTTTAGTCACGTCCCGTCTGTTTTATCAGTAACAACCCAAGTAGCACCTCCAGTGTAATTCAATAACAAACTGGGGCTTCTCCATTAATTACATTTCATAGGCTTTCATTTTACTTCATGCCATAAGACCATACTAAGGAAGGCCACACAATGATAAATAGAAGTGGAGGAAAATATATACGGCTGGATTAAATATTCATCAACAATGCCTGAGTTAATGCGAGCTGTCCAGGAGCTCAGATTTGCCCCACGTCATGCAAAGTGATCAGATTTTGGTTGCTGAGAAACCGCTGGCAGCCTTGTTTGTAGGAGCTGCAGGAGGCCAGGACATGGGCTCAAGGATCGTTGGACCAGCAAACAGGTGGCTTGTTGGCACAGCGCCTGGCACAGATCTAGCCTGTGCCCCAGCGTGGGGCCGGGCAGGGCGCAGCCCAGGGACCGTGCCCAACAGGCTGCGTGGACAAGGCCACTCTGCTTCCGGCAGAAGAGAGGAGAGCCATGGGCATGGCGTTGCTCACCCTCGGGGCCAAAGAATTGGCCCTGGTCAGTTTTATTTACATGTACAGACATAGTCATCAGCTCCAGGGACTGTTTTTTGTTGCCTGGACACAGCATTTGGACGTAGCAGGAAGTAATTTCTTGAGGACCAAAAGTTGCCTTTCTCACAGGTGGCACTACCCATGTCCTCTTGGCCTGTGATGGTGGGGTGGGGAGAGGTGCGTGGCAATGTGATTGCATCGAGCAGTATTTTGCCTCGGCATAATGCAGCGCTATGTACAACTTTGAAGGGTGCGTTTACAGACTTATTCTTCCTCAGATGAGAAGTTGTTAGAGCATCTGCCTTTTCTAGAGAGCTCTAAGAGGAAGTGCCAGTGGTTGAAGAGCATCCTATGGCATGGCAGTCTGTACAGCATATGGGAAGCATTTTCTCTTCTCCATGGCAAACGAGGACTTTGGCTTTTCCCGGAGCCATACGTGGTAGAGGGGAACAGTGGCAACACAGGAGGCTGAAGGGACATGATCCTCCTCTGTGGCCTAGGAGGAATCCTTTCAAAAGCACAGCTGAGGATTCACCGGACATGACCATTCATTGTGAGGAATCTTACTTGAAATGGAGTTTCCGGGCACATCCTTGAGCCCACTGCTTGGTACCAGCCTGCTTGTGAGCGGGCAAGCCTGGAGAAGCAGGGTGGCCTCACAGAGTTTGAAAAACCTCTTGTGAGCCTCAGGGACTGGACGTTTGTGCTGCCACAATGGCTATGAGACTATTCAGGGACTTGCCCCAGGTCTTTCCTCCTTCCAGCACCCCTATCGGGGTTTCTGTAGTGCTCCTCTCTGCAGGATCCCTTTGGGTTGTGGCTCTTGGTGTCCTAGTGGTACAAAATGGCTCCAATGGCTCTGCTGCCTCCATGAAAAGCTTTTTGTTGCAGTTTGTTAGAAAAAACAGAGAGGTGCTCTTTTCTTGTTTCACATTCTTCTGAAAAGCACTTTACACAGTGGAATAGGCAGGGAGCTTGGAGAACAGCAACTTTTTAGGGCCTGTCACACTTTTTACTTTCCAGTAAATTCAGTGAAATAATTTTCCATGTGATTTAAGAAGTGTACTAATTTACAGTGCAATTATTTGAAGGTTTGTATTAATTAGCATTGTTGAAAACACTGATATTTAGAGGTGAGGCTAAAGTGTAATTCTGAGACACAGTAGGGGATGTGTAATTGGAGTTGAAGGTCAGGTCAAATATTTGGATTTTCAAAAGAATAAGGCAAGTTCAGCTTCAACAAAGTGTTTATGGATTTGGAATGACAATTACGTTGCTGCTGCAGCTGTATGTTTTGTACTAATTAATATACCTATCGGAGGCTTGTGGCTAGGATCCCGTCACTGCCTCCTGCTGTTTTAGATTGCTGTACTCGTTTATATTGACTCCAGCAGGATTACTGCTTGGTTTCCCCAGTGGCAACAAGAGGATAGTCCAGCCAATGGAACTGTGAGTTCCACTGGTAGGAAACTCATGAGCCTGAAATCAGGCCAGTGCCATTATGGAGGTAAATACTGGAAATTTAGGCAGGTGCAATCCAGACAGGAATTGACCAAGTGAAATATTACCATCATGTGAAGTTTTAGCAGAAACTAAAGTGTGTTTCATTTCTTCTGCACTATCCAGGTTGGGTCCGGTTCTACCAGGTGTAGCAGATGTTACATGATTTGCTGAATCAATACCTGTTCTTTCATATTCAGATAGGAAACGTTTCTGGGAAAAAATGCCACCCCAAATCCTAAAACATAAGCACTACACAAATTGAAACTTAAGCAAGATAAATGATCTTGGTTTGTACCTGTTCTGCTGAAGAAGCATTTACAGGGTGTGAAATAAACCACCGAGCACTTTTTATTTAAATAAGGAGTCATTCATTGTGAAATCCTACCGTGGCAGACTGAAGGACTCTCCCTTCTCTATTTCAATAGAAACCCTTCTCCCCAGCCTACGGGAGGACCTAGGAAAATAGCTTGCAGGAAAGGACCCAGCCCTGCAATTGTTTTGTGCACAGAAGCCCTATTGAAACCAGGAGAAGCTGTGAGCAAAGAACCCTTGCAAGCTTATATCCCAAGTACCTAGAAAACAGATTTTTTAAAAGACATCATCAATAATAAAAATAATACGACAGTTCTGACTCATGCTCTGAGCAAACAGTTACCAAAGAGTTTAAGATGTTCCACCTCCCCCAGCTGCTCATTACCTCTCTGCTCTGGTGAGCGTTGGTTTGGGATCCGTGCCCACGCCTGCCCGCTGCAGCTCAGGGCTCAGCCCACCCTCCTTTGGGGCTGGGGTAGGTGAGGCACTGGCATGGGTCTGTCTCTCCTGCCGCTGGTATGGCCGTGGTCACTGCACACCCAGCTGAAACTGCTACAGTGCTACCTGCCAGGGCCTGGCCACAGCAGCCACCACCCCATGCGAAATTTGGGAAAGGTGGGTAAATGTTGGAGCCCACCTGCTCCAACCCATGGGACTCATTGCCGGGAGGATGAAGGTGCTCAGCAAGAGAGATGGGACAAACTCATCACAAATACCTCCAGCAGTAGCTCTCAAACGTAGTGATTAGATGCAACCGTGGGCTTGAGGAGACCCTGAAGAGCAGGTTGCAGGAAGGCAGGCAGGTGTATGGGGGAGCTTGGCGGTTCCTCCCCTGCTCTTGGGGTGTGTTCCCTAAACATGTGCTGCTGGTCCCTGCCTGGGCCAGGCTGCTGGGAGAGGTGTGCAGGGCTGATGCAGAGTAGCTGGTCTTAAAAGCAAAGCACAAGGGGGCCACTGTGCCCCTGGAATCCAGCGGAGTGGTTATGGGTGGCTCTCTGGGTGTCCCCACTGGCCCTGGGTCTTGTATGAAGCCCCAGCAGCATCTGAGGGCAGCATCTTTTACAGCAGATCCACTGCGTCTTAGTCTCTTAGAAATGTTTTTCCCTTTCCTTTCAGGCACCCAACGGCCTCCCGGCCGTCAGCGGTTTCGTGTCGGCACCAGCCATGCCTCCCTACGCCACACCAGCCCAAGTGTCACCTTACATGACGTACAGTGCCGCTCCGTCCGGCTACATGGCGAGCCACGGCTGGCAGCACGCTGGAGGCACCCCGCTGTCCCCTCACAGCTGCGACATCTCCGCCTCGCTGGCGTTCAAGGGCATGCAGACGGCCAGGGAGGGCAGCCACTCGGTCACGGCCTCCGCTCTCTGATGCAGGAGCTGGTCCAGGACCACCACGAGCCCGCTGGCTGGCTGTCCCCTGAGCCTGGCTCCCAGACTGCTCTCTTCGTGCCAGCGATACCTGGCATTTCTCCTCGTGACTGGTCTGCCGTAAGGCTTTTGGGATTGAAAGAGCTGAAGACAGCATCAGAAACTGAGAGAAGTGCGGGGCTGTGCTCTTTAAGCAAAGACCTTCAGTAAAGTCCCTCAAAGGGCTCGTGGAGCCTTGTCCCACTCTCTCCTGGTCAAACCACACGTATTTATTCTTAATCATCACAGACTTTCTAAATGTGCAATTGTTATTAAGATTTGTGTAAAAATCAATAAAGAAAAATCATCACAGAAAATTCTGCTATGCCTCGAATCAGCGAAGGCGGCTAAACGGGAGGCGTTTGCGAATTGCCTAGAGAACAACCCTTTCATCGATGAGGTTATACAATCCACTGCTATTAAGAGATCACTTTTTGGTTGTTTTGTTGGGTTTTGGTAATCAGATATAGAAGCAAGGCAATAGGCGGCTCTCAGATTCTTCTGGCATGTCGCCATCGTCAGGCAGTAGTAATACATTTGTGTTTTTATCCATTTGTATATATAGGCTTTTGACAGCATTTGTTTTCACCTTCCAGTACATTTATTTCTATTTTTTTTTACGTTAAAAAGGTGCCTTTCTAGCTATTTTCTGTGTCTTTGCGTGGTGGTGTGATGGCCTCAGGTGATGAGGTTTAGGTAAGCTTTTTTTCATCGTGTTTTCGTGCCTACAGTGGAGGCTTCAGCATTTCATGAAATAAATGCAGTTATCTCTTTAGCAGAAGATTCAAAGGCAGAAATCCAGCCAAGTAACACACCACAGCTATACCCAGCCTCCCAGATTCACGAAATACCACATTTGTGTTAAGTGTACAAACAGAAATGGGTGGAAAATATCTGAACAAACCTGAAAACTATAGAGAAAAATGCCATCAGTGGGTAACCTGTGCAGAGATGCGCACAAAGCCATGTCAGTCAAGAAACCCACTGAGAAACAGAATTGTACCATCATTGTCAGCTCACTTGTCTCTGGCATTTTCGGCCCCAAGATTATGTTGTAATTTTTTTTATGAGGAAGTTGTCTTTGATTTCTGCTTTAATGAATGTAAAATATGGCTCTTGGTAAAGTTTACATTGTTGTTCTGAAGCATTTCTTTTTCCCTTATAGGTATACTGGTGGTGGTGCTACAAACACAGATATTAATATTAACAAATTCCCTTTCTACATTTCTGTATCCAGTGGCAAGTACTCTGTGCCAGTTATTTTACTTTCAACTTTAATCCCAAGAGAGCTAACGTTCTGATCTTTGAAAATTTACCTGTTTTCCTTGGGCAATAATAAAGTTCTGATTATTGTTCTAGAATGCTTTCCACATGCTGTAGGTATGTTCAGAATATGAACATGGAAAAAAAAAAAAAGCCTGGTGTGACATTTCATATCCATAGAACATTAATATATTGTGTATTTTTATAACTGTTGTGCAATAACTTTAATTACACCAGAGATAGTTAAAGCAGAGGAGAAAACTTCATTTTTCAAATATTGCTCTATCTACATACCATATTAAACATTCACTCAGTGGGAAGGTAAAATACAGTCCCCTCTTAAAATACAGTCCTCTCTTTGTGGATTTCCAGCTTTCATCATTGAGACAGCTGTGGGTAAATTTTCAAAATAATCTAAGTAACCAGTACATGTGTTATGTACAGTATATACACTGAAATATAGATGGACTCAACTGGCTGCTGCCACCTTTGCTTTTTGCATTAAAAAATAGTTACCATGACTGTATTTCTATGAATAACACAGGTATTGTATTATGGCCCTAAGGAAAGAAAGAACTGATCTCGGATCTGATCCCGTATTCTTCAGCCTCAAAGGCATTCGACAGCTGTTTAGCTTTAGCGAGATGCTGAAACCCTTGTTATTCAGTAGAAAACTTTTTAAGGACTGTTTCTTTGAAACCCCTAAAGGTAACGTGCACACAAGTGCATTTCCACTCTGCCACACTGTCAGTGACGTGACGGACATTATTCTGCCTCTATGCAGTTGTAGCTGAAAAAAGATGAGCCTTAATACCATGAAAAAGAAATCGGTTTAATTCTAGACAAGCTCTTCACTAAAATTAAAAGGGAGGAAAAAAAAGATAAGAAAAAGATCACGAGTCAATAAATGATTAAGTTGGCAACAGGATTTTAGCTTTCAACCTTGTTGTTTTTCTGGATTATAGAATTATTGAGTAAGTCTACCTATTGTTACCCATACAGCACAAACAAAGTACATCAAAGGAAATAAAAAATCTGGAAAAAAAAAAAAGACAAGAAGCCTTCCGTAGCACAGCTTTTTGAGCTCTAAGAATTCACAAGCCTGTAACAAAGTGTGCCTATGCTAAAAGTTTTCAAAATTTTCCTCAGCAACAAGAGGTCATTTCTGGAATAAAAGTCATCTTTTCTGACATTCCCATGAGGCATTAGTGTGTTTTGGGAGATATTTAGAGAGACAGGTCCTTAGCTTGTATCAGTCGTTTGCATTATCTTGTCTTCAGCTAAATCAGGATAATTTACAAAGCAAGGAGACGACACGATGTTGATGGGAATACACTATCATGAACCATTTTTGCTTGTGTTTGTTTAGGTACAGCTCTTCGCGCCTCTGCTTGCTCTGTAGAATACCTTAACCCTGAAGTGGAAAGTTGGTGGGGCTGTGTGCAGAAAGTGGTGCTCAGAGGGAGCAAAGGTACCTGACCTTACCTCTTGGTGAACTGCCTGTGATGGATTTTTTTGGTGTGAGTTTTCATAACAATTTTTTTTCTTAAATTCTGCAAAGCAGAATCCTCCTTTGCCCAAGGACTTTTTTTCCCTGCTTATACTCATGGGTAAACTGAAAAACACAACATGCTACCTTATTAGCCACACAACTTTGAGCCACTTTACAATAAACAAAGGAGAAAAAGGGATTTTTTTTTTTTTAAATAATAAACAAGGGTCAACTGCTGTTGTCAAGCATAAGGGTATAAATCTGTAGTGAACCCACTGAGGTGAATGGATTAATTTGGGAAATACGCAGGATATGCGAGTGCAGAATTTAAGTTTTTAATCTGAAAAGCTGCACTCCATTCCCAGAGTGTCAAATGTTTTCATGGAAATCAGTGAAGCCTAATACTCCCTTCTCTGACAGCCCCACTGTGTTTGCATGGTCCTGGCACAGATCTGCAGTGTAAAACTGAATGAGACCCCATATTACACCAGGAGTGACAGGGACTGGGCTGGCATGTTCATGGGTTCGTTTCCTAAAACAATGCTGTGTTTTCTGCTTTCTAGTGGTTCTCTCTTTATCAAAGATCAGGCTGAGCTATTAACTGAAAAAAATCATGTTGGAAAGGATGTAAAACCAAAGGCTATATATGTATATACAGTATGTTTAAAGCCTTTTATTTTTATATTTTGTATGCTCTAAATTAATAAAAGACTAATTATGAAGTATTTGGCTTTTAATTTTCAAAATTATCTTAGTAGCATCTTCTCTTTGGCTAAGTACTGATAATGAAATGCAACAACGAGGAACATTTGCCTTAAAATTATAAACTGTAACAGAGCTGATTTTATTGATTTTAGCTATGAAGTAGCATAGGTATGAGAAGTCGCTGTTGTCAAATTTAGACAAAAGAGC